CAACAATTAGCAAACTGAGACACTACAGAGTCTTCTTGAGGCGAGATGAACGTCCCTCTAGCTAGAGAAAAAAGCTCCTATCCTTCTTTTTTTTTTGCTTCTCGAAATCTTATAATCAGCCCATAATAGCTTGCAGGGTTCAGGCTACCAGCAAAGGAAAAACAAGAGTCAAAGATCTCCAGGTCCTAGCTCAATCACATGGAAGCCCTAAAGCTAAGCAGCCGCGCTTGAGCCAGTGGGTGCCACCCCGGGAGGGAACCTGCAAGATCAACGTCGACGCTGCGTTGATGACAAACAGACCGATCGGCGCGGTTTCAACGGTGTGTAGGGACCGGCATGGAGTATTCTTGGGCGCGTCCACGATTAACTCCCAGGGTTTAGACGATCCCACGACGCTTGAGGCCTTGGCAGTTCGGGAGTCACTCGCTTTAGCGGACGACCTCTACGAGCACAGGATCTCGGTGGCCTCGGACTGCAAAAATGTTATTGATGACATCAGACAGGGGAGTGCAGCGGCCTATGGTGCTATCATTAGGGAGATTGTAGATCATTCCAAGTTTTTTGCTATTTGTTCTTTTAGCCATGAATTTAGGAGCTCGAATGTCGAGGCTCACAATTTAGCGAAGCATGCTCTCTCACTTGGGGTCGGCCGCCGTGTGTGGTTAGGCAACCCGGGTGATCTTTCTTTCGTCCCTGTAAACATTGTAACGAGTTAAATAAAAGCTTCGCGGGATTGTCTCAAAAAAAAGCAAAGGAAAAACAAGAGTCAATAGGAGAGGCTTGCAGCGAAAGCCAAACCCTATTCAGCAGGCACCCCCTATGAGGGGAACCCAACAGACATGCAGGAAAAAAGACACGATTATGCTTGACGAAAAAGCACAAACGTGCTCCCCGCATTTGTGCTTCTCGAAATAGTGAAAACCACAACTTTGCTTTCACATGCACCACAGTTGTGCTTCTTAGAAAGTGAAAAGCACAATTGTGTTTTACGGTGAAGCACAGTTGTGCTTCCCGAAAAGTGAAAAAAAAATCACACATGAGCTTTCAAAAAAGTGAAAAGCTTAGATATCCTTCCGGCTTTGTTTTTTCGGCTATCAGTTTTTTCGGTTTTTTTGGTTTATGCTCTTTTTGGTCTTTTTCTTTCAGTTTTTGGATTTTTTATTTTTGGGTTAGTCTTTTTTGGGGGAAAAGAAGCCCGTCCAAAAATCTAGTAACATGGGATCTAGTTTCAAAGATCTTGATGGAAGAGATACAACGACAAGCAGTTGAATGCACGGTTTAAAAGATAAAACATTTAAAAAATGAACGAACGAAAAAAGCATTAAGCTCTCATCTTGAAGTGTCACAAATGGAGTGCACCACTTGTGACCACGAGAGATGGGAGTGACATTTGCAAGGGCCCTTGATCACTTATCTGGCCTTTTAACTAGTCATTTCTCTATTCGGCGCTTAAGGTATCGCTTTCTACTGTTTGGGTATAAAAAGCACAACCCTTCCGACCTTGCGCCTTGGCCCATTTACTTATTCCCACCACATGCTCAATTTTTTTCTTTCTTGTCACATTTCAATTTCGGGAACCTCGAACCTTCTAGAAGGTTCCCTCAGTTTTCTGGTCCAGGTTTTATGTATTTTGAAACTCTATTTTGGCCAGTTTATGTTAGGTCATTTAAAGTTCTTTTTCTCTTATTTTCTGTTTTATTCTGTTCCTTTTTCAAATTCATGTTTTTTTAAATTTGCAAAACTGTTTTCGAATTCGTGAATATTATGAAAATCCACAAGCAAGTTTTAAAAGCTGGGAGTATATTTTAAATCCATGATTTTTTTGAAATGCATTAAATTTTGGAAATTCGCAAACTTTTTTCCAAATTCGTGCATGAACTTGTTTCGAGCTCGCGAACTTATTTTCAAATTCGTGAACTTTTTCAATATCGCAAACATTTTTACAAATTCATGATTTTTTTAAAAATTCAAAAAAAATCATGAACTTTTATCAAATTCATGACCTTTTTTAAAATACCTTAGAAATTCTGAGTTTACAGTTACTTTCAACGGTATCATAAAAAACCGGGCAAATTTTCCCTTCCAACGGTATCACTATGAAGTCTACTAAGTCATCTGCTAGGGCAGCTACTGGCACTAAGGAGGTACATACTTCTGTTAGAGGTGTCGCTTCTGCTGCGAAGGCGACCCCTCTGATTTTGGTCAGAATATGGTGTCTTCTTTGTTTTGCAAGAAGGAGAAAAATATGCTCATTCGTAGTTTTAACAATATATTCAACACATGCAAGTCCACTTATGAGCGCCATGTCAGAGACATTAATATGGGCAAGTAGTTGTGGAGAGATCAAAGGCAGTCAAGGCACACAACTCAGGAGGGCCAGCACCACCCAGGCGAGAGGACATTAGCAGTTGGGCTACTGAATACTCCAGCCCATGTCTCAAATACAACTTCAATGACGAGCATGATGATGTAGATAGCGCCTCTCTCACCGTTTAGGTCTTTGCGTTAGCATTGCTTTTTACCCATGTTGGTGTCTTGATGCCAAAGAAGGAAAAGAGTTTTTTTGGATCGTGTGCTTGGAAACATTGCAAACCCTTGCCTTTTATTTGATTCTTATGTGGGCATGTAAACACCTTTTTTTTAAATCCGTACTCGTGGTTCCGGAGCTTTGGCTTTGGCACCGCTGCAACAGAAATTAGCAGTCACCAAAGAGTGTGAACTAGGGGATAAATCCACGTCCTCGACTCACTTGTGGTTAATCCTTTCCTGTCCCTTACTTGCTTTCTATGCTTGTTAGCTTGCTAAATTAGGTGGTTAAACCTTCCCCGTACCTTTACTTGCTTTCTATGCTTGTTGGCATACTAAATTAGTTTTTTCCTAGCTTCCTTTGCTTTGAGCTTGTTTGCCACACTTATTGTGTTCATCTAGTTGCACACTTAGAGAACCTACTTTATTCACATTAACCTAAAATTAGAAAGTTACGATTAATATCTGTAGCTTCCTATTCAACCCTACTTTAGTCAACCTCTCGATACTCTCAACTAGTATATAGACTTAACTCTAAGTTTTATGTGTGAACTAAATGTGGGCATGGGTAGTTCGGATCGAGCCCAACTGGTAGGCCAGGCTTGAGTTCCTATTTTACGCCCGAAGCTCGACTCGAAACCTGAAAAATGCATATGCACAATACATATATCAATTTGCTTAAAATTTATTTAAACATTTTTAAAATTCAATAAAACAAATAAAAATGCATCAAATGCAATACACATATCAATATGCTTTACATATTTTTAATCATTTCATAAATTTAATTACATCAAGGGAAAAGACTATGTCTTAATGTTTTGGGCTAGACTTGTCTTGGTATGTTTAGGTTGGGCTAAACATTGGCCGCCACCAAGGTCTCCTCAACGCCGTTGCCTTGGTTCCCCTCCTTTCTTCTGTCCACGGTTCGACAACAACCAGAGGCATGGGGACCCGCCCCTTTCGTTGTTCTCGCTGCTAGTAGGTTCTTAGTTGTTTCGCTTAGGTCATGCCGTCCCGGTTCTCCGGTGGCATGGACAAGGTAGTGGCAGTGATGGCGCATTGGAATAAGGTCTTTCTAACACTCCCTACCTCGACACCGCCTTATAATACAACGACGAAGGGGCTTGTGAGGGTAAGTGTTGCCTAAATCTGTTGGCTCCCTTTAGATCTTGCCAACATGTGCGTGAATCAAACGAGTAGTGAGCTGGCTCATGGTGCGGTGAATTCGACCCCTTTTTCGAGTTGTTATGCGTCGTGGCCCAGTTTTTCCAAACTCTGGACTGATGGCGAAGGATTGCAAGCCCTCGCTACTGGGGTGATGCCCCAACCAATGTATCTTCAATGGTTACTGGATAGCGTTTTATTAGTGATGAGTGGTTATTGTGGCCTACAAAGCATGGTATGCCAAAGGCGTTTGCAGGTGCCCCTTTCACTTACTGTTGATCCAATGCATTTTTCAACCTCCAGCAGACAACATACAACCAAGGAACAAGCCAGGTAGTATGTTTTTGACCTAATTTTATATTTTAGTGGTCATTTGATGTCTTGTTGTCTTTTCATTGTACCATGTATTTTCTCCTTGATAATTGACAGATATAAGATATTTTTTGGGTGTCTTTTTCTCAAAGGAGAATATATCAGCTTGGATGGATCATAAAAATCTCATTCAAAAAAGAGAACCTTGCCAGCTTGTGGTAAGTTTGTACTACTAGCAGTCGATCAGTACAAATACCAGAAAAAGCAGTCATCAGCTAGCCTGATAAACGTGCTACCAGACTACCACACCAGTAGGACCTGCCATGGTTGGCTAGCTCGGCTTCAGCTTGGAACATGAAGGCACCACAAAAACTGCACAGAGAACAGCATAATTCACACAGTTACAAGAAATTACCGCCTTGTAGAAAGATTCTAGACAGAGAGTTGGCGTTCGTAAGCAGCGAGAGTCAATTTCAGCAGCAGGAGCGATGGCAACAGCAGAACGGTCCCCCCGATATACTTCCGTAGTTGTCGCAGTCAGATAGCCCACGGTACCGCCGCGACTCCACCCACGGTAATGCCCAACGGCCTGCCCCCGCTGGCCCGCTGCGCCCACCATCAATCAATCAGAAACAAACACGTATTCTCAAGCGGCGACCTCCTCCCGCTCCCGTGGGCGCGCGCTTCCAGAGCGACAAGAACATTCCTCTAAAAAAAGTGACAAAGCTGCGATCCTGTGTGCTGAAGCACCAAGTATCCCCTGGTTCCAGCAGACTCCAAGAGCCATTCCAGGCCATGGCGCCTCCGCAGAGCTCCTCGATTGGTCCATCGTTGCCTATTTTTATCAGCACATGCAGCCTCTATAAAATCGCATCGCTCTTGCTGCCCACTCGCACTGAAGATCTCCCCGATCGATCCTCGCATTCAGCTTGTCACTCTCTGTCTCTCTTGTAGCTCGGCTCAGTTGTCTGTTCCCTGCAAGCCGCGGCCGACCCATGTCGAGCCTGATAGATATTTGGACGGTGGAGGTGGACAGGATCCGGGCCATGAGGAGAACGGGGGGGCCGTTCAGACCCACGGCTTCTCCCGGCGCACAAGACGCCGGCCACGTAGCTCGGCCGTCCGGGTCCGGCGACGGAAATGGAACGCCAACACCTGATGGTGCCACGGCTTGGCCGGCCAGGGATCAGGCTGCCGGCGCTGGCTCGCCGTCGTCGCCGGTGCTCGTCCGGGAGGACGCCTTCTTGTCCATCCTGGTCGATTGCTTCGGTCAGTAGATTGCACCGAGCGCTTGAACATGTAGCAACACGTTCCTGAGCTCTAGCTAGATGCGGTGCAACTAAAGTGTCTTTCGTGATTGCTGTAGCCTGCTGAATTATCAAGTTCGGCGCCTTCTGAATGTCTCTGTTACAGTACAAATCTCTTCTCCAGTCAGGTCCGTTTTCATGATGGTTCCTGGATGGGAAAAAAGTTCGTTTTCGTGGGTACGAGTACGATCGATCGAGACGGTGCAGCCAAGTGGGAGGGGAGATGTAATTCATTACCACCACTCGGGCGGCTGAAGTAGTAGCGAAATATCTCTCTTCGCCGAGATATTTTGCTTCAAAATTGTTGCCATGCATACTGAACGTTTTCTCTGAACATCACCTGCCCATGCATACTGAACGTTTTCTCTGAACCTCAACGTTCCAGTTGCTCCTGCACCTCGCAAAACGTTCGACCTCTGGCGCGGCCCGCGATCCGGAGCATAAACCTTGCTCAGATTCTTCGATTCCCCGGATCAAATGCTACGTCCGGGTGGTGCGGCGAACCTGGATGGCAGAACCATGCGGGCACGGGGCGCGGTGAGCACGTACGTGAGGGCGATGGTCCGCGTCGCCGGCCGCTGCACTTGCACCCGCCCCAGGGCAGTCAATAGTCACCGCGCGCGCAGCATCCTGGCAGCGGCATCTCTCCCCGGATCCGCCCGCGCGCCGAATCAATGGTACGCGCGAGGATATCCCCTCTCCACCGCTCGCGCGACGGCAGCCTCACGTTCATTAGCTTGGCCTCCGATCGCGCGTCGCGCCGCGCCGTGCGTCACATGGCAAATGCACGGCACGGCATGGGCCTGCGCCGCAACGGACAAAGCCGATGAGCTGTGGCCGCTCGCCCGCCACTCGGCGGCACCCAAACAAAAGAACGAGTGGCAGGCAGCTCGCGAGTGCATGCCAATAGCCGGTGCCTTCCTTCACACCTGCGAGCTGTATAAGTAGAGCCGGGCACCCAGAGTTAAAGGAACGCCCACTCATCCAAGCAGTGAAAGAGAAGAAGCTAATCAAGCTCAACAGCCTTCTTTTCCATCGAGTGTTTGCGTAGCAGACCCAAGAGTTAGAGAATCCAAGAAGAGTGTGGACCTAGCCATGGCTGGGGTGGTCGGCGTCTGGTTCGCCAAGTTCGGCCGGGAGGCGGCGCCGGCGGCAGAGGCAGAGGCCGAGGTCGTCGGCCGGCGACACCAGGGCGACGGCCTGCTCGAGGTGGAGGCCGTGAAGAAGGGCGGCGTGCAGATCCAGGAGAGGAGGAGGAGGACCAGCGCCGTCCTCGCCAACTCCGAGGACACGGTGTGCATGCTCATGGACCGCTTCGCCCCGGCCTGATGCGCCGGTGAACCGGCGGTGTCCGTACGTACGTGTAAATTCCAGGGCACGTACGTCCGTAGGGGCGCGGGCACAAGGGAGGAATCTATACCTTGTGCTGTGATTGTACATAAGCTTTTTTTCATCGCTAATCGAGTGATCGTAGTAGTACTGTAGTAGTGCTCATGCCTTCCGTTAAAAAAAAGGATAAATAAATTATGCGGCCAGTTGAATCAACTGTATCATATCATGTGCTCCTATGTATGACTGTATCCTTTGAATGGATTGTTTGGTTTCTATGGCATCTCTGTTGCTGCTGCTGCTTTTTCTTAGTTGGTGTTGGTGCTGCTTTTGGTGATACATTTGCTATTGTGGTTCTGCTCAATCTTCTTCCATTTCTTTTTTTTTAGAAAAACGGGGAGTTTACGGTTCTTGCAGCATTTTGTCAAGGGCTGTTTATTGACAGCTGGCATGATCCAACCTATGTTTTCCGTTGCTGAACTACTCACTAAAATTGGGGAAAGTGTTTAGCAGCCAAATGATAAATAAGTACTACACGAGATGCTCCAACGACATAGAAGATACCATGAGGATTTGGCAACACATCGGCATCATCCCCACCCCCACCTCCGGTGATCTATAGGACTGTGTATTGCCCTTGGAGTCGAACACTCTACTTTGAGTTACATCCTACTGGAAATGGCTATTCTTTGAAAGATCTGGGATGCACGAAATGCAAGACTTTTAGGGACGGGGACATCCATACTGCGACGACCTTCATCTTTGGTATCACCGTCTCTCCAAACAACACGACAAGGTGGTTGTTTTCTCGTGGCAACTTTACCTTTCTTCGTGAGTGTTCATGCCCTTGTAATTCAGTTTGCTTATCCAGATAGTGGCGATGTGTTAACTTAGGTTGTGTTTGGCACAAGAGCGGAAGTGCCACTCTTAAAGAAATCCACCGAAATGTCAAACACAACCAAAATCGTTCAGGTGATTATCTAAGAGTTTGGTACCAATATTCAACCTTCGCAATAAATTTTGTAAGGCCTAACCTCTCATGTCACAGCATTGGTGTTTGAGTGTACCGTACCCTACTTAAGAACTGGATAACCAAACCAATTTGACCAAAGACTTGAGTGCCAACCTTTGGGCCATGATGCCGAAAGGATGCATTTGGCATGGGAAATGCTGAAAAAAGCTAATGACCATCGAAACAAAAGTCAAGTATTTGAATATAGCGTGTATGGTTTTGACTGAAATCAAACCTGTCAGAGCTATGCACCTACTTTACAATTGTTATAGTTGTAAATTGAGTTTTAGTAGAGTTATCGAAACAAGATCTCATCCAGGTTTATAGATAAAGCAACAAGCAAAACAGAAGTCCAAAAGCAAAAAAAAAAGTTGTCTAATGAGCCGACAACACAAACATGCCCAAAATATGAAAAGAAAATGGAAGAATGATCAATCATGGCATCAAGCAAAATTCCGCCCCATTGGTTAGAAAGCTGCCAACATTGCTGCATAAAAACCAATAATTTAAACATAGTGTCAGTAGCACGAGACAAATAACCTTCTCAATAAGCAACTTATTACTATTTGCCCACAAGCTCCAGCCCAAGTCAGCGAAAACGTCTCCTACAGTTGTTGTAGAGTTATGCATGCTTTGTGGCATAGTTGTTTTGTTAGGGAAACCTTATATTAGGTTATGTGCACATATATCCCTAAAAAAGGATTATGTGCACAAATTTTCGGGCATACATGATGTCAATGAAAGAACCTTAAGTGTTTAAACTATGATTTTTGCGGACCATAAAAGAGCTGATGACACATCACTTCTTTTAAGGGAAAATCTCAAATGATTTTGCAGAAAAAAAGTGGCTCGACGAGGTTATTTCCCACCAGGTAGTCCCACGACTACATAAGACCCAGCTAGGGCCTAGGGAGGCCTAAACCCGCACGTGTTACAACCCAAGGCAACGTCAGCAACGGGGTGGCCTACCAGTCGAAGTGGGCAACAACCGAAAAAATTCCCTCAGTCGATTCATCCGTCAGTTGGATTATTGTCACTCGGATTATATTAGTAGCTAGGTCCATTCATTTTGTCAGATTTAGCACCATGACACATCTCAACCCCTCTTTTCGTTCTATTCATGTTAATAGCTGCACCATCCACTCTGCATGTGGTGATCTAGCATTTCACTGTTACTCTTTTGAGACTAAGCCAACATATCATCTTGATTTACGAAGTCATCTTAGACGACTCGTCGTCGACGGAAACGTCTTCTCCACTGAAAGCGCATCACTGGGGAATCCTGAAATAAATTCAGAAATAATGCAAGCACCAGGACTTGAACTCTGGTGGACTGGGATATTACTTGTCACCTCAGTGAGATATTCTGTAAAATTTAATGGAACCCTCTTGGATTCGTTCGCACCGTCGCGTGGGCTTCGGCAAGGTGGCCCCCTATCCCCGTTTTTGTTCTTGTTTGTGGCTGATGGCTTGTCTGCTCTGTTGAAGGATGGAGAGGCTCAAGGAAAATTTACTCCCACTAAAGTTTGTCGGCGCGCGCCTGGGATCTCACACCTACTTTTTGCTGATGATACGTTGTTGTTCTTTAAAGCGGATGAGGGGCAAGCCAGGGAGGCGAAGAAAATTATAAATACTTATGAAACTGCTACTGGACAGCTCATAAATCTCACAAAGTGCAGCATTTTGTTTGGTAATTCTTGTTTGGTAGCTGACCAGGAATGTGTCCGCACAGCATTGCAGGTTTAAATGTCCACTTTTGAGGAAAAATATTTAGGCTTACCAACACCGGAAGGACGGATGTCAAAAGGTAAATTTCAGAATTTACAAGCCCGCCTCACAAAACGCATTATGACGTGGGGTGATACGCTGTTCCTAGCAGGGAAGGAAACAATGATCAAGGTAGTTGCCCAGGCTATTCCGACGTACATAATGGGAGTGTTTAAACTGCCTATGTCGGCGTGTGATGACTTAAACAGAATGGTTCACAATTTTTGGTGGGGCGCTTCAGATGGAAAGAGGAAAACTCATTGGATATCTTGGCCGCGTATCTTGGCACATAAAATGAGAGGAGGATTGGGATTCAGAGATTTCAGAGTCTTCAACCAGGCGCTGCTTGCTCGGCAAGTGTGGCGTCTTCTTACTAATCCTAATAGTCTTTGTGCGCAGGTCCTCAAAGCTCGCTACTATCCAGAGGGACGCCTCGAGGATACATTATTTTCTGGGAATGCCTCGTCAACTTGGCAGGCTATCCAGTATGGGCTTGAGCTCCTCAAGAAGGGGCTGGTGTGGCGCATGGGAAATGGCCAGAGCATCCGTATCTGGCGTGATCGATGGCTACCTCGAGCTCCGTCGGGCGTTCTGATTTCCGCCCAAGGTACCTGCCGGCTTCGCCGAGTGGCCGAGTTACTCGACGAGCGCGGCGCATGGCGTATGGACCTACTCCACCGACACTTCCATCCGGCTGATGTCAATGTTATCAGGAATATACGGACGTCTCCACGCCTCGCCGATGATATCCTTGCATGGGCTCCTGAGAAGAACGGTATATTCACTGTTCGGTCCGCGTACC